GTAGAAACAATGCACAGGGACGTGCATGATATTTAATGGGGGAGGATGTAACCCAGAAGCTAGAACCTTAATGAGGTATTAACTAATTGGCTTACTAATATGATCCATCCTCAATTTAGATAAAATATAAAATATAAATTAAGGAAATTAACAATACTAATTAATAGATATCTAATTAACTAATAGATAATTTCATAATGAATTATTGGAAGGGTGAATAACTAAAATAACGAGTTTAATATTAAACATCGGTTAAAACAAGAATCTTGAACATCCCTAACAGAAACAGAAGAGGAAAGCTGTATACTATTGGTCCAGGTGGGAATCTGAAATTTCATTGGCTGAGAGAAATAAGTCCCGCCTCCGCGAAATAAAACCGTGCGACGCAGCTGAGCGAGAGGAGAGACAAACGGCTGTGCAGCACGCAGATACAGAAAGCAAAGACTGAGCGGTTAGAGAGAGAGAGAGAGAGAAAAAAAAAACAACGGTCGAGGCCGTGAAGAACCCTGATTTGGGTGCCGCATAGATAGAGGGAGAGGCGGACTTGACTCCTTCTAATAAGAGCTAGGAACTTGGAACCAACGCGGTGAGTAAAGAAAAAAGAAGAGAAAAAGCTAACGATGCAACTTAAAAAAAAAAAGGAAACTTAAATAGCTTATCAAATTAATTCCATTCTTATAGATTTGTGTGGAGACGACAGAGTGAACCAATCCTCTGTAGGAGGGAACCGTTGGAGCGCGTTGGTGAGTGAATGAGATTAAATTCAGTAAATTATTAAATTCAAAAAGCTAATTACAGCAACCGAGGTGACAGCAGTGGGCTGCTAGACGTTAGATCCCAGGAGTTAACATCTCAAACTACCAGTTAACGGTGGTAGGGCATATAGGAGTTAACGGCTCAAACCGCCAGTTAACGGCGGTAGGGCATATGGGATTCCCAGGAGTTAACGGCTCAAACCGCCAGTTAATGGTGGTACGGCCTAGATGTACAAGGTCCTCAGGGGCGTTATAGCTAACGCCATAGAATTAGCAATGCGTCCCTTAACCAAACATTTAATAATAAAAAAAATAGATAAATAAAAATAAATAAAAGCTAACTGATTAGGGAGGAATTATTTTACAAAGGTGGACCAAAGGACCAGAATTTATATTTTGTTGAATTTTGTTATAGAACATTTTATTTATTTATTTATTTATTTATTTATTTATTTATTTATTGTGTTACAGATATACAAGGTGTCACAATGCTGTATAGAAACACAATTAAATGTATCCTTGTTGTCATGAATGTATTTCTTGTTGAATAGTGTAGAGTAATAGAATCTAACTGAGCCTATTGAGCTGAACAATTGTTGTCATATGTAATTATATTTCCAGAGCTACTGAGAATTATTTTAATAGACAATCAAATTGATGTTATGTTAGTTGAACTGTGAACCCAAACATGATTGGCTATGCCAATAGAGTGAAGCATTTGTTTAAGTCTGTAAGACTTTATGCTGTGATGTGACGAGAAGGGTCGATGCCAACTCGCTAACAGTCCTGTTGTTTACAGGCTGGTTTTTTTTTTTTCCTTGGGTTTGATCCCGACTCCTATGATCACTCACTTGGAACGAGAACTGGATTTCTTCCTGACGAGGGAGATGGCGAGCCTTAACCACTGAACGAACCAGGACATCTCAAGTAACTGAAGAGCAGACTGCTCTCTTCTGTGAACAATCTCAACGGTGTGGTAGGAAAAAATCGCACCACCGGACTCTGACTTTCACCCCAAGCGTGGGGATTTGACTTGACGCCGGCTGACTTGTGACTCATATGATCAAATCTCATACCGACCATTTTACTATTGTCGATTGTTTTCATCTGTTTTTGTGTGTTATCTTTATGTGTTATATTTCCCATTATTATTAAAATTTAGTATATAAACCGTTTCATGCTATACCCGTGACTCCAGTCATTCTTAAACAACCTCCAATTCTCCCCGAACCTAATTATTGGCCCATTTGTTTATTTTTTCTTTTAATTATCTTATTGTATCCTGTAATCCGGTTACATACACATACAATACATTTGCAAGAACTATTATAAAAATTACACACACACACATATATATATATATATATATATATATATATATATATATATATTACATATGTATATATGTAATATATATATAATACATATATATATTTTTTATATATATATATGTAATATATATATAATACATATATATAATCTCTCTGATAATCTTATGAAAGGAGAATACATGTGCAAGAACTATCACACAAATGATACAAATTTGATTGTTAAAGTTGTTTTAAGAGTACAGATGAGGCTCAGATGTAGATACGGTACAAGCAGACCCATTTCATGAATACACGCCACTTTAAGATGGCAGCCTTCCTATTTTGTTTTGGCTGCAATCAGAATAGCTGTTAGCTTTTCAGTCCAGTCAGAACGAGTCCCTGTTTCTCCTAACTGAGGTTTTTCCACACAGATTATACGAGTGATTTCACTTCCAGTAACGGCAAAGTTAAGCCTTTATTAGGGTTAGTCATGTTGCACCGGTTAGGTGTGGATGTTGTCGGCTCTTTGGCTTTGTCTCCCGTTCAGTAAAAACACGTTTTTAATGTGTGTGTGAACACGTTTACGAAATACACGAAATCCTGTTCAACTGGTTGTGAAAAAGAAGCTGCAGAGGAAACGTGTTTTCATCAACCCCCAGAACTAGCTGCTGCTACAAGTTTTACAAAGTTTGTAGAAACTGGAAAATAAAAATCTCTTTCTAATAAAATGAAGCAAAACATAAATATGGCTGAAAACTCTAACCTCCAATTTCACACTGGTGTCATTTGCAACTCAAATCCAACTAGAGGAAAACATCTAAAGATAAAACAATCTTAAAAACTGTTGGTCTCGAGAAAGGCTTTGCTGACATTTATCCCCTCATAGTGAACATAGAGTGTTCACTATGAGGTGTTAGTAGTGCAAAAGCGTGTTTAAATACCCAAATGTGAATTCATAAAGAGGTTTATGTAGTTTAAAGGGGCATTATGGAAGTGTGACAGCCAAAACATGTATAGAGATAATAAATGTCTTCTTCATACATTCTCCTGCAATGCCCTGGTCCTGTAGAATGAGCCCTGGCATTTTTACTGTGATTGCCTGTTTTTCTGTAAAATCACAGAAAAAGAGATGCTCGGGTCGAGCAGGCTGCTTCATGCGTGTTCACGCTCAGGCATCGCCCGTAGCATTTGCTATCCGTAGCTTTAGCAGCAGAGAGAGAGGCAGTGCCACTTTGTCGCTGTTCCTAACGCCTAGTGACAAAGCTAGCTACATTTCTGAGGACCCTTAGCTACTTTCTGTAGAACTTTCTTCTAGATATTTCCTGCTAATTAGCAACAAAACAGCCATTTTCACTCCGAACCGTTCTTTGAACGTTGTTTCAGCTGTCATCAAGGATATAAATGTTACAGATACAAAAGATGCTACTGGCGCTTTAGCTCACCTAGTAAGATGTCGGACTCTCGTGCAGAAGACCTGGGTTTGATTCTGGGTGTGAACATAGTTCATTTAGCGTTTATTTTTTACATTAATGGTATATTTTTTACAGTAAGACGCCCAAATTTTTATTTGAGACTCGCTGAACGGCGTTGAATTCACAGATAAAAAAGATGTGGGTTCAACTTTCATTTTGGAACAATTTTTCAAGCAAGGGAAGGGAATGATCTGAGCATGCAGGAGGACTGACCCATCATAAACCTTTGTCGGCTGTGCTGAAGAGAAAGCTACAGAACCAAATTATTTAATTAATTAGCTGCGTGTTCTCCTGTCCTCTGTCCTCCGGGCCACACACACACACACACACACACACACACACACACACACACACACACACACACACACACACACACACACACACACACACACACACACACACACACACACACACATACAGGACTGTCTCAGCTGTTATTTTCGTTAAGGAGTGTGCACGTACAGCATGCGCGCCTCGTGCACGAGCCTACTATTGAAGCTGCCGTTACGTTTTTGGCCTGAGGGGGCAATAACGAGCATAAAAATTCAAAACTCCATAAAGTGCCTTTAAACCAGGGGTGTCCAATCCTGGTCCTCGAGGGCCGGTATCCGGCACGTTTTCATTTAACCTGCTTCAACACACCTGATTTCAATCAGCAGGTGATTAACAGGCTTCTGCAGAGCCTGATGAGCTGCTGCACAGGTGATTCAACCAGCTAATCAAGCGTGTTGAAGCAGGAAAAACCACAAAACCTGCTGGTTACCGGCCCTCCAGGACCAGGATTGGACATCCCTGCTTTAAACTAATTCAGACCAAAAGGAAAACTGCATCCCAAAATAAAAGCTGAGTGAAGACGTCCCGTCTCGGATCATCAGTGGATGTGGATGGAGAACAAGGAGAAACGTTCCAGTGTTACTCTTGAAGGAAACCTGACATGTTAGATAGGGGGTCTCCACCCACTGCTGTTGGGGTTGTTTATTTGTGATTGCGCTGCTGAACCAGGACAGAGCCTCGTCTCCTGGAGCCGGCCCCGCTGCTGTTCCACACAGGAAACGCTGTTTGTTTTAGCTGCTCACAGCCCACCTCCTCGCCGCCATCAGCAACTGGTGAACAAGTGGTGCACGGCAGGGCCTGCGCCACACGTCTCCAAGAAGAAAGTGGTGATTTCAGTGATTATGCAGTAACGACAGAACAATGGGCGCCAGCTGTAAAGTAAGACCCTGAGGAGGGGGTTGGGTCCCTGTGAGGTGCGACGAACCACTGGACCACCACCCAGGTGACACCTGAGTGACAGCCTGACACCACCTCTCATCGATCCTCTCCTCTGGCTGTATGAGCTGCAAGGAAGGACAGAGAAATGGATCATTCATGTGTCTACACACACACACACACACACACACACACACACACACACACACACACACACACACACACTGTGCGATCGTCAGTGCTTTCAGAACCTGGGCAACCATGGGCGGAGGTTACAGTAGAAAGAGAGAGCATGCCTTACCTTCCTTTGTGCTGCACGAGGAGCGTGTGTGTGGTCTTTGGTGCTGCGTGACACTTCTCCTGCTCACACCAGCTAACTGGAGTTCCTCCCTCCCACTCTTCATTTACAGAAACCCTCATGGACAGTCGGTGGGCCACCACAGAGCTGGCTTGGACCACATTTCCGGAGAGCGGGGTGAGTGAGTGTGATTGTGTGTTTAGTTTGTTTTGCGGTATTTTATTTCTCCTGCAGCATTTGTTCCATTTGCTCGTTAACAGAGCCCAGTCCTGCTTGAGCAGACCGCCTCCTGCTGTTTCATGACTCCTTTCTTTTCTGTGACTGTTTGTGTAGCTGGAGGTGGTGCTGTGCCAGCGAGATGTAAGGAAGTGCACTGAGAGTGTGTGTGTGTGTTTTGTTTTTACCATTGCATTCAGCCATTAAAAGGCAAAGGGGCTTTTTCCCCGCTAGTCCCCTCCCACCGTGCATGAGGACTAATATCAATCTCTCAATAAAAACTTTATTTAAAAGCCCATTTCATGCAAGGCGATGCGACGTGCTTCACAACCAAGCATCACACACGAATGAGCTTTAGAGCTTAAACCTGTAAACACCCATTTTGAGTTAGGATCACATTCACACATATGTGTGTGTATGCATGTACAGACGCGCATACACACATACACACACGTCATGCTTAAAGACAGGCCACGATAGTCAGAAACTTACATTGACTGCATGCACATTAATGGCTAAGCCTCCCCAGGAGAGAACTGGAAGCATGTGCCTGGTGTAATGTGGCCCCAGGAGCGTACTCTGGGTGGGAATTAAGGTGCTTGGTTGGTACTTCCTGTAGGAATTGTGAGAAAATAAAACGGCATGAGTTTGACCCCGGGGCTAACAGCCTGACAGACCTCCCCCACACCCGGCCAGTGCAATTTGTCTTCGCTACATGAGCGCAAAGTCAGTCAATGGAACGGGTGGGTTTCCATGGAAACCGTCTCCGGCAGCTCCCCGTGTTTTTTTCTTTCTCCCCACAACGGTCGGCTCTGAGTGCCCTGGCATCCATGAAGTCATATGTCACGACGAGCTGCGAGACAGCCCCTTTCCTCCAGCCCATTCAGGGCGGGGGCCAGCAATTATCATGTTTGTCAGGTAGTGCATCAACGGGTTGCCGGTGATTTACGACACCTAATGCTGACTCCTGGGCTCATTGTTTGGGGATAAATTGCCCGGCAGCCTGCAGACGTGAGATGAGTTATGCATTATTTTCCTCCAGTTGAAATAATCAATTTCTGGAAGGGTCATTTGTTACGGAAACTAAGTATTCAGTTCAACTGGGAGTTATGGGAGGAAGAAAAAGCAACATGTTTAATTTTCTCAAGGTTATTTCCTAATGGACTGAATCTATTGACCAGTGAGTCCATTTGTCATGACTTTTATTGTTAGTTACATATAACTCTGTTAATGACACTTAAAGACATCCACGGTGCTTTCAGATATCTTTACAAATCACATCCCTTAAGGTCGGGTTACTCCGCGCGGAGGTGAGGTGAGATGGAGCTAGCAGCATTTATATCCAGACTGTAGGGGGCAGCATAGGGTCTGCATGCATCCAACACCACACCATTTTAGAAGCAGAAATCACTGTTTACGTTTTTTCACTGCATCCTCGTCTTTTCTGAGTCTGACAACAATTACAAACAATATTTTGATCACAGTGGTCTCTACGGGCCGTATCGTAAAGATGTCTGTACTCACGAACATCTCATAAACTACGAGCTCTTGACAGTCCGCCATATTTTTCTATGCATGACCGTCTTGTGTCCACACGGAGGGTGCTGTTGCTGTAATAATGTAATTTGGCCGTGTGGACCTCACTGACGCATCAAGCAGGGCCGGATTTAGCCAGAACTGCAAAGGGGTACAGGTAGAATATATGGGGGGTGGGGGTGTGTGTGCTAGGAATTTTTCAGGTGTCACATCCCCCAGATCCTTAAAATGCATAGAAAACTATGCTATCATCATCACAGTTCTTCTATCCATATATCTACAGTGGGGCAAAAAAGTATTAGTCAGCCACCGATTGTGCAAGTTCTCCCACTTAAAATGATGACAGAGGTCAGTAATTTACATCATAGGTACACTTCAACTGTGAGAGACAGAATGTGAAAAAAATCCATGAATTCACATGGCAGGATTTTTAAAGAATTTATTTGTAAATCAGGGTGGAAAATAAGTATTTGGTCACTTCAAACAAGGAAAATCTCTGGCTCTCACAGACCTGTAACGTCTTCTTTAAGAAGCTTTTCTGTCCTCCACCCGTTACCTGTATTAATAGCACCTGTTTGAACTCATTATCTGTATAAAAGACACCTGTCCACAGCCTCAAACAGTCAGACCCCAAACTCCACTATGGCCAAGACCAAAGAGCTTTCGAAGGACACCAGGAAAAGAATTGTAGACCTGCACCAGACTGGGAAGAGTGAATCTACAATAGGCAAGCAGCTTGGTATGAAAAAATCAACTGTGGGAGCAATTATCAGAAAACGGAAGACATACAAGACCACTGATAATCTCCCTCGATCTGGGGCTCCACGCAAGATCTCATCCCGTGGGGTCAAAATGATCATGAGAACGGTGAGCAAGAGTCCCAGAACCACACGGGGGGACCTGGTGAATGACCTGCAGAGAGCTGGGACCACAGTAACAAAGGTCACCATCAGTAACACACTACAACGGCAGGGAATCAAATCCTGCAGTGCCAGACGTGTTCCGCTGCTGAAGCCAGTGCATGTCCAGGCCCGTCTGAAGTTTGCCAGAGAGCACATGGATGATACAGCATAGGATTGGGAGAATGTCATGTGGTCAGATGAAACCAAAGTAGAACTTTTTGGTATAAACTCAACTTGTCGTGTTTGGAGGAAGAAGAATACTGAGTTGCATCCCAAGAACACCATACCTACTGTGAAGCATGGGGGTGGGAACATCATGCTTTGGGGCTGTTTTTCTGCTAAGGGGACAGGACGACTGATCCGTGTTAAGGACAGAATGAATGGGGCCATGTATTGTGAGATTCTGAGCCAAAACCTCCTTCCATCAGTGAGAGCTTTGAAGATGAAACGTGGCTGGGTCTTCCAACACGACAATGATCCCAAACACACCGCCCGGGCAACAAAGGAGTGGCTCCGTAAGAAGCATTTGAAAGTCCTGGAGTGGCCTAGCCAGTCTCCAGACCTCAACCCCATAGAAAATCTGTGGAGGGAGTTGAAAGTCCGTGTTGCTCGGCGACAGCCCCAAAACATCACTGCTCTCGAGAAGATCTGCATGGAGGAATGGGCCAAAATACCAGCTACTGTGTGTGCAAACCTGGTAAAGACCTATAGTAATCGTTTGACCTCTGTTATTGCCAACAAAGGTTATGTTACAAAGTATTGAGTTGAATTTTTGTTATTGACCAAACACTTATTTTCCACCCTGATTTACAAACAAATTCTTTAAAAATCCTGCCATGTGAATTCATGGATTTTTTTTTCACACTCTGTCTCTCACAGTTGAAGTGTACCTATGGTGTACCTATGATGAAAATTACTGACCTCTGTCATCATTTTAAGTGGGAGAACTTGCACAATCGGTGGCTGACTAAATACTTTTTTGCCCCACTTTATATTTTCTTTTTATCCTGGCACTACCATCTATCTATCTATCATCTATCTATCTATCTATCTATCTATCTATCTGTCTGTCTGTCTGTCTGTCTGTCTGTCTGTCTGTCTGTCTGTCTGTCTGTCTGTCTGTCTGTCTGTCTGTCTGTCTGTCTATCTATCTATCTATCTGTCTGTCTGTCTGTCTGTCTGTCTGTCTGTCTGTCTGTCTGTCTGTCTGTCTGTCTGTCTGTCTGTCTGTCTGTCTATCTATCTATCTATCTATCTATCTATCTATCTATCTATCTATCTATCTATCTATCTATCTATCTATCTATCTATCTATCTATCTATCTATCTATCTATCTATTGTCTGTCTGTCTGTCTGTCCGTCTGTCCGTCTGTCTGTCTCACATCTAGCTTTACTGAATATTCCAGCCATGGTCTCCCACACTACCAGGCAGGACAGAATGAGCGCGTTCTCCCCAAAGAGCGGTGGGTTGGGATGGTGCACTACTGTTCAGGCCTGCGTCGCCCACAGTGGCGGCTGGACTGGCAGGGACGGGGACGGCATGGGCTTTCTGTAACTAGTTCTGGTGCGGCTCCAGACAGAGGGGGGGGGGGGGGGGGGGGGGTGTTGTGGCAAGTTGAGAAGCTGCACCCGACTAGCCGACTTCTGCTGCTACTGTCCTAGCACTGTTGCTAGGTTTAGCAACCAGAAACCTGCGCATGCCGACTTTGTTCACTTCAGATTACAAATGAAAGAAGAGAACGAGAAAACGAACATCTTTAGAAAAAGAGTAACCAAATAATTCCATTGACCGACAGCGTACGAAAACTTCACAGTGTCTGCGTCTGTGTGTGTTGCTGGTGACTGTCTGGGAGTTATGAAGCGAGATGGCAGAGAGCGAAGTGCAGCGACATGCATCTACCAATCAGCAGCTACTTTGAATGAGGGAGAGGGAGCACTCTGACCCTTTTTCATCAAATGTTTTTAAATTTGGGATTTCTACATGTCATCACATTTGGGGGGCATTGCCCCTCCTTGCCCATGCCTACATCTGGGCCCAGTCAAGCATAAATCACCCTTCTGACAGGGGGGATGATCATGTTTTTGCCTTTTAGGAAAATAAACAACAGCTAAACAACAATGCAAGATACACTGCTCAAAAGATAAAAGGAACACTTTAACTACACCATGTAACTCCAAGTCTCACTTGTCATCGTCGTCGTCTTCCTCCGCTTATCCGGGTCCGGGTCGCGGGGGCAGCATCCCAGCTAGGGAGCTCCAGACCGTCCTCTCCCCGGCCACCTCCACCAGCTCCTCCGGCAGGACCCCAAGGCCTTCCCGGACCAGATTGGAGATGTAACCTCTCCAACGTGTCCTGGGTCGACCCGGGGGCCTCCTGCCGGCAGGACATGCCCGAAACACCTCCCCAGGGAGGCGTCCAGGAGGCATCCTGACCAGATGCCCAAACCACCTCAACTGACTCCTTTCGATCCGGAGGAGCAGCGGTTCTACTCCGAGTCCCTCCCGAATGTCCGAGCTCCTCA